TCATATTATGAAATTTTTTTTTTTTTTTTTTTTTTTTCTTTCGTTGAAAAATATTTGAAAAATATTTTCTCGCATGTATGTATATATGTGTGTGGGGGGTTTGTGTAGGTAAAAATTATTATTAAATTATTTATATTTATTTTTAAATTTTTTGAAAAAATGGGGTTTTATTTGTTATATTTAAAGCTGGTTATTTGTTTGTTTTTTGTGACTGTGTATATGTAACAGGTAAAAAATTGTAATCCTTATTGTTTAATTTATATGGTGATGTTTAATTTAATAACGGGTTTATATGATATGATGTGATAGTAATATTTCAAAGGATTGGAGACAATGCTATTTAGGTTTTAGCTAATAGTTATTGTAAACTGGAAGAAATTGCAGATTGGTAGAAATGATTAGTAACGGTGGTGGGAGAATGATAAAACCATGAATGTAGTTATAGTGGTGGTAGCCAGACTAAAAAAGTGGTTGTTGGTGTTTTATTTTTGTTTTATTTTTGTTATATGTATTAATTTATTTTGGTATAAATCCTGATAATAGGTATTCTATGTAAAATTATGGTAGTTGAAGATTGCTATAATTTTTAATTACAAAATTATTATTATTATTAAAGCTGCCTGGTAATAGGTGTTTGTTCTCATGGTTACATATGGAAATTATATCTGATCATATTGTTTTAAAGTATTAAATATGCTGGGGGGTAATAAAGATTGTAGTGGATTATATGTTAATAGTGGGTGTGATGTGTAAAATGGATGGTGCTGTGTGTAGGTGGTAATGATAATATTGATAGTTAATAGATATTGTAAAAGTGGTAAAAGTGATTACTAATGGTGGTGCAATTATAATAATGATAGGTGCAATTATTTTGATGGTATCTTGAAATTAAATTGTGATTGTTGGTGGTTTGTCTGTTTTATCCGTTTGGTATGAATTCGGATAATAGATACTTGTTCTCATGCCTACATTTGGAGATTATCTCTGATTTTTGTTTAATTCTTTTTTGGTTTGTGATAATATTGCTACTTTTTAACTGTACGCAAAGTAGGCATTTTTTCGTAATGTTGTTGTAGGCAGGGGCTTTTTTTGATATTTCCCAACTTATTGTTGGTGTGATGTTTTGTCTTTTGCTGCCATATGTATGTAGAAAGTGTTGTGCTGTTGAATATTTCCTGTTGTTGAATGAAAGGTTGTGATTGTTATTCCTCATCTTGAATGGACCTTCGTATAACTTTCCGTAGTTATAGTGTTGTTGTTTGTACTTTTACCTTGGCCTTGTATATTGTGTTCGTAATTTGGCAATTTCCTGGAGTGGACATGTTGTTCTGTTTCTGCAGTTGCATATAGGGTTCTTGGTTTACATTTTTGTAGGTTGTCATTTTTTGTTGTGGTTTTTTGATTATATCTGTTATGTTTTTTGTACAGCTGTAACTGATCTTTACGTTATTTTTGTTAAATATTTTTTTGATAATTTGTTTTTTTAAAAGTGAAGTGTTTTTTCTATTAAGTTTAGGAATATTTTGCCTATGTTCGTTTTAACAGTTTTGTTATATGGTGGGTTAAACCAGATAATGTTTCTCTTTCTGTTTCTGCGTTTTTTTGTGGAGGTATATATTGTAGTTGTTGTGTGTAACCACTTGCTTTTAGTGCTTCGTTGTATGGTGCTATTTTGCTATTGAAAATTTGCATGTTAGATGAGTTCTCAGATAGTCTACGGCTGATTGACTTTGGTATTTGTTTGATGATAGAAGGTGGATGGTTGGAGGATATTATTGTACGTAAGTTGGTGTGTCATTTTCTTTTTTGTATGGTTCATATGTGTTTGTTGATCAGGTTAAGAGTGACGTCAAGGAAGTTTACTATAGTTGTGCCTGTATTTATCTCTATTATGAATCCAATGTTTTTAGGGCGTTCACTATTTTCTTCCTGAATTTGTCTACTTTGGGGCCATTGGATTCCCTTATTAAGATAAGACCGTCATCTCTGTATAATCCTGTGTCCTTTCTCTCCATATATTCTGGCCAGGTATGATAGGATGAGTATGCCTACTAATTCGCATATTTCTGCTCCATCGTAGCTACCATTATTACGTCAAACAGGTTGTGGTTATGTGTCTTTGCCCATGGTTCATTGTTGTGGAACAGCAGGGGATTTTAAATGCTTGATTATTTTTATATCACCGTCCGTGAGTTTTTACATTTAGCTGTACCAGTTGTATGGCTTCATTTAATATATTTCTGTAATGGAAGGGTAAAAATCCACAATGTCAAATTGGATGAAAGTGGATTTGTTCTTGTTGTCTATCGATTTAAACCACTCTATGACGGCTTTGGTGTTCTTCCACTGGTTGAGACTTAATTTTTCCCTTAGGCTGGTGTTGATATTTTCTAATATCTTCTTACTAATTTTCCTATCTCGCTCTTAATTGGCATATATATATATATATACACCCGGCATATATATATATATATATATATATATATATATATATATATATATGCCAATTGTAACAGCAAAATTGTCAAATCATATAACAGAAAAATTGTCCAACTGTTAGATTAAGCTTTGAACCATTGTATCTTAGAAATGATTAAAGGTTTCTTACTGGAATTCTCTGAGGTTTTTATAACATTATTGGACTCTACTTTGAGCAATAAGAACTTATAATTATTCTCTAAGTTTAACAGAAATATTGTGATGAAATCAATCATAAACAAAAATGACATGTTCATCATTAATTAATCATAGCTAAAAATCGGAAGCTCATGAAGGACTGAAATAAAGTTCAAATATATATATATTATTCCAGGATTATTTTCCAACTTATTCAAGATGATTTTAGCGCTCTATAGCATTACTTTCTGTCCTGTAGTAACAAAATGCCTCATAGGTTTCATGTACGATTTCATTTTCAAGTCTTTTTTCACTGATCTTTGGACTGCTGTAGTTTTAAACTCTTCTCTCACATGCTAAACGTTTTATGGATTGAGTTGGATCTTTTCTAATTGATCTCTTTAGCTCTAAGTTAAAATGATGATCTCTCTTCCTGTTGTGACATCCTGATCCAGTTTTCTCTCTACTGTTCCCTCTATTTTAAAATTATTTACCATTTTCTTGATGGTTCTGGAATGGACTTTGAAGTTAGAAGCCAGAATATGAATGCTGGTACCATTACTGAAGGGGTGAATGATTTTTTTCCTCTCACCATTACTTATCTGGGAAGACAGTGAGGCTGACACAAAATGATTTTAACGTGTTCTTTTTGTAGCTGAATAACTCAAACTTTTTGTCAAGATGGCTAAATGTCTTATCTAAAAACCTGTAAAAAGAAACTCAATTAGTGTTTTTTTTTTAGATATTAAACATTTTGTAGGATGGATAATTATGCTGTAACATGATTTGGACAAATTTGCTGTTACACCAGGTCTATATTTCATGTGGATATATTTGTAAACACTGAGAAAATAAATGTAATTTGAAGTGTGACAGTTGAAAGGTATTAAAATTTAAATAATTATTATAAATGCTAGAAAGATGAAACTTTGCAACATGATAATTTGATATACAGGTAAGACAAAATTTGTGCATCATAGGGATAATTTATTAAAAGCACAGTAGAATCCTTCATATCTGGAGTGTCTCATATCTGGAATCCCACATATCTGGACATGATTTTGATGTGTATATTTGAACTATTTTGGATGATATGTAACTGATTTGAAGTTTTTGTTTTTTCAGGAAATTTACTTTGGATAATTGCTTATGCTTATTTCACCCTAATGGCTTGTATTGGTGCAAAAGGTGATGGGAATAAGAGGAAAAGAATAACTTTGGAGTTATCGCAAAAAGTGGAAATTTTAAATAGACTAGACGCTGGTGAAAGTTCATTGTAACTAATGGCTGACTTAAAAACATAGGAAAGTCAACATTGTATGATATAAAATCTTCCAAAGAAACAATTCTCCAGTGTTCACATTGTCACAATGAACAAGGAAATGAAAAACCTGATTGTATGATGAAACCTGGACTGAAATTGAAAAAGCTATTGAAAAGGTTGTCAGTTTTATGGAAAGAAAGCCAGCATTCAGCAATAATGCATGCAGAGTTAAAAAGTGTTTTTTTGTTTAGAAAATTTAAAGCAAAATGAAATGTGGAAAAAGTTTAGAATGACATTAGAAGAGAAAGAATCATCATACAACAGTGATTAAAAAATAATCGTTACATTATTTCTTTTGCATATGTGGAATAATTAATTAAATGAATTTTCATTAACATTACATAATTTTTTTTATTAAATCAATTCTGTTATATTTCACTCACCATTAGCTTATTTTGTTTACTATAAAACATTGAAAATAAATGTTAAACCTGATTTCAGTTCTTTTATTTTGATCTAAATATAACCCCTCATATCTGGACTTTGTAACAAATTCATCATATCCAGAAGGCCTTCTTAGTCTGGTTGTCAGGGATTCTACTGTATAATTACACATGAAAATGTTATTTACTAGTTATTTATTTGTTAGATGTTCTCTTCACAATGTTTTCCTTTTTTCAAACCTATTTCAATTCTGTGCCTGCATGGTTCATTAACACGTCAGAGTTTCCTCTGTCATTTTACTGCATTCATAGTTCATTCTTTCTATAATTAATTAACTCCTATGGTGCATGACTTTTGCCTCACTTTGTATACATTTTAAATGATATATATGTGTTTCATTAATAATTAATAAAAATATTAATTTATATTGTTTTAAAGTTGTTCAACTTATATATTTTAATGATGGTTTTACTATAATATATTTATTTGTTTCATCAAATTTTAATTTTGATTTTCCTAATTATTCATGATGCAAGTGCTAAGGAAAAACTAGCCATGTGCAATTAACCAATCATGCTTAGTTATTTTGATAGTGATGTCATAGTATGTAGGTGCTTGTAGTTTAGTGTATAATTTGATTAATCTCATATATTTTCTTGCAATATTTCTGCAACAGGTATGCTGTTGGAATACTGGTATCTCCATTCTGCTGGAAAGAGAGGTATTGGGTAGGCCTCACTTTGGCCTGTTCATTGTCAGAAATTCTACACCATTTATCTTTTACCAAACTTTGGTTCAATGGAAGTCTGTCCGACAGCAAGGAAACTTACCATTTAAAGGCACTGCCTGTATCAATCACACCTACCTCATTTTCAGTTTTAAAAGACACTAATCAAAAAACAGGTAAGATCCTTGAAAATTTTACCTCAACTTTTGATAGTTGTGTTGTTTAAGAAAAAATATATTTCATTTTGTCATACAGTTTTTATATAATAATTACAAGAAAGTATCCTCATCAATTAAATGCTGTTGGGATGAACAAAAACGAATGAAAAAGTCAAGTGTATTTTAAAACATAATAAAACAACTTTTATTCATTTATGGAGGGAGAACAGCAACGATTTGTTGGATTGAAAACCATGAATTTCAGATTTATGTCAGCTTTTCACCATGTTGATTAGTGGACAAGGGAAGTAATTCAATTGCATTTTGAGTTATCATCCTTTATTATTGAAGAAATTAGCTTCCCCTAACACTTTTAATAAAAAAAAATGTTAGAAATTTTTTCCTTATAAAGGAGAAATACGACAATAACTTAAGACATCTGAATTTTATATATATATATATATATATATATATATATATATATATATATATAATGTATATATACACACAGTATAGAATTGTTGTATACAGAATAAATTCCAATAACCAAAAATACTATTCTTAAAACAGTGCTCAATACAGAGTAGAGCAAATATAATTTATTAAAAAATAACAAATATGTTATAAAATCACTACAAAAATAGCCATTTTGTTTCAACAATTCTGGTGTCTTATCAAGCGATGGTGTTGAATGTAGAATAAAGGGTTTTAAAAGGTTCAAATTGACCAAACACCCCTTAATAGGGGAAACGCTGTTACATAAGCTGGTTATATGGACATTCATACAAAGATATTCACCATCAAAGATGATATTCTGTTATGTTGACATAGAAGATTGCTATGCAATGATAACGGTCGTGGAATAACAGACACAGGTCTTAAATTCATGATGCAGTTCTATGACGTACCACGTGAGAGACCAAAATATTAACAACCGAACCATATGTTTAGATGCAATGTAATGTGTTGTGACTAGTTTGAAATGTAATATCTTTGTTTTCACCTGAAATTAAAGTGCCTATATAAAGTTTAGAACAGCTCATGATCAAACATAATAGACATTCATTGTCGGTTTTATTTAACAATATATGTTTGAATAATGATATGCTGCCCCAATACACTATTATGAAACGGATTAAGTCCGACAATTATTTAATATATTTTTTGTTTATATGTTATTTTTATATATACAAATATTTAAGTAAATTCTCTGTTTATAATAAACATTGTTAACATTTACTGGCCTGAATGTCTGAGAAATCTCAAAGAAAAGGTGTGTCCTCTGACAGGGACTGAAACTGTATCCTACACAGAACTGTCTTATAGACTGACGTGCTATACTATTTAGATACAGAGGAAGTGTCTGGTTAGCAAGGTTAAATTACTGTTTTCATACTACAAATTTCTCATGATTTCTCTCAATCACTTATATCTGTTGAAGCATATCTTAAGATAAACAAATCACATCATATAGTATGAAATGGACTAAGTCCAACAATTTGATTGGAGAACATATTTTTTTTGAAAATTTCTTGAACATTCAGGCCAATAAATGTTATTAATAGTGTTTATTATAAACAGAGCATTTACTAAATATTTGTATCGATAAAAGTAACATATAAACAATATATATATATATATATATATATATATATATATATATATATATATATATATATATATAAGTACTCAAATTTTATTATAGTTAGGGAAATTCATATTTGAAATACATACTCCATTTTTAATTATTAAACGGTATGTATTATGTCTATCATTCTGTGGATTTAAGAAATTTTACTAAAGAAAATGTGAAGTAATATAAATATTAGATTAAAAATAATAATTCATTATTTTTTTAGAAATATATATATATATATATATACTTTTTTTTTTTTTTAGCATTTCACCCCAAGCAAGGTGGGAGTGCCACTAGCGCGCAAGAGTAAGAATAAAGAGGGTTGTTTGAGGAAAGGATAAAGAGAATGATGGGGATCAAGATCAAGGCATAAGTAAGAGGAAGGGAGTTACACTGTTGGGAAGTGTGAGAGAAGAAGCTGTTGGAGTAGAAGAGGTGGTTACATTTAATTGTTTTGACAGTGAAAGGGCTGTACCAAGATGACAACCTAGTAGCATTGCTTAAATTAATGCAGTTGGGGTACCAGTAAAAATAGCTGTCAAAGCAGTTCATACACACACACACACACACACACACATATTAGTGTGCTGAGATTTAAATTATTCTGAAGTAGTCTAATTTATCAAATTGTTACATGAACCTACAATGCAACAGAAAAGAATGTATCAAATATTTATACATATAGTTATTTTATAGGCATATTGCTGTAACCTGGGGAATGTTACTGAATAGAGTAATCACATGAAGGTTGGTAATGAATGATAATACTTAGGACAAGAACAACACATATAAAATTTACCAGCAACACATAGAAGTCAACTGCTAGAAGTGAGTCAAGTGAATTCCACAATGAATTTCCAACTGCAGACCAACATACAGTATTTACTACTGTATTTATGTGAATGTGAATATACCCATTATCATCCATAGGTATTTAACAACACATATTAAATATTTTATATACACTTGTATAAAATTTTATAAGCACAAATACCAGGATGTAGCCAACAAAATTTTCTCTGTTATGCTGACAAAACTCATTTTTTGATAATGACTAATAGTCAAAATATTAATGTGTTATGCTATGAAAGAAATGAATATTCTCCCATTTGTATTTCCCTCATTGTTATACTGTACCTATGGACTGTAATGGGTATGTCCCAACCCTTATAAATACAGTGGAATATACATGAATATGGATTCACTTGGGTTTCACCTGGATTCACTTCTAGCTCACCATTAACAGTTGATTACTTACTATATGCCGCTGGCAAATCTTGTATCATGAATGGAATGGCTGAAAGAAAGGGAATGACAAACATAATTTGTTCTTGGAGAGTGTTTTATGCTTCTAAGTCATACACAAAATTATATACATCCTGGGTAAGATGATAAACTACGTCCAGCAGCAAGGCCTCTAATCAAGAAGTTTTGAGGAGCGTGGAACAACCTCTTAATTGCTGGTGTTCCCACCCTGACCCGGGGCAGTAGCACCTGTTAGTCTCATCTATGGGCAAATAGTTAACCCTCAAACTGCGGTCAAAACACTATGAAAGTGTAAAAATAGGTTTTAATACCCGATATACCAGCAATACATTTTTGAAAAAAAAGATATTACCAGAAATAGATTTTTTGAAGAAAAAAATATTACCACAAATACATTAAAAAAAATATATATATTACCAGCAATACATTTTTGGAAAAAAAATATTACCAGCAATAAAAGATTTTGTCAGCATTAAATAACCCATTGAGGTTGATATGCCATAAAACAAAACAAACCAAAATTATACATACATATTTACACATGTTCCACACAGAAAAATACATCATATTCTGATGTAAATATCTTAGTTGAAAACTGAAAAAAAAACCAATAAAAATTTGAATAGATATCTTGTTAGTTGAATTTAACAGAAATGGTTTGGTTATATTTGTATTGTGTTTTGTAGATTCTTCATTGTGAAAAAACAGATTAATATCTTTTGCTTTGACTAATTTTTGGAAATCACAAGATTTTGTGGATGTTTTTTTTCTGTTTTGTTAAATTTAAAGTTAGATGTGCATTGTGTTGTAATGGATAATAGCTCAGAATGAAAAATCGAAGAGCCGGGTTCAAATTCCAGTTAAGTTTGTTACATTCACTTACATGCAAATAACCTTGAATCTTGAATCCATCTCTACTCTCTCCCAGCTATGGGTTGAATAGTATGACAGACTGGGTCTTATAACCTTGGTTGGCAACCAGTCTGAAATGGCAAGCTTCTGAGAGAAAATCTTCTGCCTAGTCAGTCATGAATTCAAAGAGACATAATCGCCCAAGCGTGTAGCATGTATGCCACTTAACTGACTGAAGTTTAAAGTTTCTTTTTTGTTATTGAAGAATATTTTTGCTTGACATTTACCTGAGAAATGAAGACATGAAGATAAACCAACAGAGTTTAATTGGCAATTACTTTAATCCATCACTGATAATGCTTTCAATCTGGTCAGTGATAACAGCACAATCTTAAAAGCTAATCACTTTGCATACAGATTATAGCTTATGACATAAATGTATATTGTTTATTCATATTAAAAATGATTTATCATGTCCTTGAATCTAATTTTTTATTTGGAAATAAAAAAAAAAAAAAAAAAAAAACAGAAAAGAACTTGAGTTCAAACTCAGTTACGATCTTGTTATATCCACTTTCTTTCTGGTTTGTTGACAGGGCCTATAATATGCCAACTGCATCCCCTGTAGAGAGGTAAGACCTCTCTACCCAAGAAGCCACCTTCCAAGTATATTCTGGCAAACTTAAGTATAAACACTGCCCAGTGTCTACCTTTAGACTAAGCATAAAAAAATCAGATTTTGACATTGAATTATTCAGCGGGAATTGATATATAAAATCTGTGAATCTACAACCACTTATGGTTGGTGTAGTAACTGTGCATTTAATATTAGGTCATGTCTTGCCATTTCTTTCTGCAGTAGCCACTTGCCATCCAAGGCTATAGAACCTGGTTTGTCCTGCTATTTCCCTATAGCTGGAGGAAGAAGTGGAGGATTCATGCCTTTCCCAAGGGTATTAGGATGTAAGTGAATGTAATAGATTTGACTGGAATTTGAACTTGGCTCTCCGATTCCTCAGTCCCAGCCACTATCCATTACTCTACTGTGCCTCCTCCTAATTTTTCACTACTACTCTTTAACAAACAGAAATTATTCAGCCTCAAAAGTTGTGATAAAATGTGATATTAAAATAAAAAAAAAAACTGGTTTGGTTTGCTTTGGTTTGTTTTACGGCAAGTAAAATAATGATGCTCTCTATTTACTTATTTCACAATAAGACTGTTGTGATTTTAGTTGAATTATTAGTATACTACTATATTAATTATAGATAATTAATATAGTAGTATACTAATAATTCAACTAAAATCACAACTGTCTTATTGTGAAATAACTTTATTGTAATTAGAAACTTAAAATGTGTTTTTAATTTAAATTAAATTTTAACTTAAAATGTTGGGATCCTTGTCAGAAGTTTTCAAATGTCTGTAAATCTTAATTTTCAGATGCTAATGTTTCCAAAGTGACCAGAATCTTCCCAAATGTCTGTCGTGTAATCAGCAGGCATGGTAATGGCTCGGGAATTGTGTTTGGTGCTGACCTGATTTTGACCTGCAGTCATGTTATAGGCAAAGATACAAAAGGTAAGGGCAAACAAATTGAAAAGTCATACCTTCTCGGTCATCTGCATCAAAATTTCTTTGGGGTGTTCAAAATAATTTTTGTTGTTTTCCTAATTATAAATAGGCTGAATAGAATATTATTTATACTGGACACATTCTAGTGTTTATCATATTGGAAGTAAGATATAGTCTAGACATTTTAACTACAGAAAACCAATGATCAATATAGCACACTGACAAATAATCCCTTGAGAGCCATTCCCTTATATCATCCCTAAAAAGTCAGATCTAATTTGATGATGATGACAATTTCAAGTTTTAAATGATGGCAAATGTGAGAGAAATCTGTAGGTGCATTGGAACAAATATGAACTAACCAAGAGACAGCATTAGGAAATTACTAACTGCATATAATCCTATAAAAAGAGGTCGCATTGGACCCCAAGAGTTTAGCTGGGTGGTTGTTCAATGGCTGGCATTAATTGTTCCAGAGAGCAGATCATGGTTTTATAATAAGGAGATGATTATTTTCTTTCTGTTGAGTGGCATGCATGTTAGTGAAATGAAATAATGTTTTATATTAACTTTTTGAGAGCTGAATAAAACTAACCTCATCTTTACTCTATGTGCAGATGCATGTAATTAATATAACATCATACCATTTCAGATATTAGTTAGTGCCAACCTCCTCCTTTAGGTATTAGCAGCATCCATCAACCACCACTGAGAGAAACCAGTATACACATGAAACCCTGTTAAAACATTATAGAAGAATTCAAAGTAATATTATTAAAACTCAAAATTGTGCACAGCATCAGCTTCGAATTTAATTTCCACATTCACATATATTAACCAATCAGTGACATTATTTTTAAATGCACTGAAGCCTTTGAAATTTCTGACAACTATGTTTATCATCTGTTACAAAATTTCTAGAATTACTTCAGAGAATGATCAAAAACATTTTCCCTCCTAAGAATAGATATTTAAGACTTGGGAAAAATGTTTATAAACCAGTAAAGTTCTGAGTTTAGTAAAGTCTAACTTTTAGATTTCTGGAGCCTATTTTTCTTCATAAATATGATTGCTAGTTTTCAGTTTTTCTGTATACCTTTGACCAGGGTTGGTTGTGGACAAGCTGAATTCTCAAAACCTTTTGTATAATATATTATGGAACATTTCACATATTTTATTTCTTACAAAGCCTAGTGATTTTAAAGCAAATTGAAACATACAGACTGAGTTTGTAAACAAAATATTAGTAGAAGCTGTAATACAGCTTCCTGTCTGTTGACATGCTGACTACTAGAAAATTACACACATTCATAAAACAACATAAGTTCATGACACTCTCCTTATGTAGACACATTCTGTTTCTTCTATCATACTAACACAATTGATTGGGTTTTATTGTAAAGAAAGACAAACAAAAAATATTTTTGTGTGAAGTTGTTTTGCAAAGATTTTTTGTAACTCATTTCTTATGAATAGATTTATTTAAATTTCTAGGGACATGTTTCAAGATAATTTACTTCTTTTTTTTCCACATGCTTCTTCTGCTATATACATATCAACTGCATGTAAACAACTGACCTTTTCATACCACTGTAACTACTAGAATATACTACAAAAATATCATGAGCCCATTGTATGTAGCTTTGAAAATGAAATGTATATATCGAATGTAACAGCAAAATTGTCCAGTTGTTGTCCAAAAATTGCTCAGTTGGGAAGAGAGTAGGGCTGACACAAAATGATTTTATCCTGTTGTCTTTCTAGCTGAATAACTACAAAGGGTTTTCAGTGATTCTCACAAATGGTATCAAGGTGGCTAAATGTCTTATCTGAAAACCTGGAAAAAAGAAACTCAGTTTAGTGTACACTATTTACATTATTCAGATTATTGTTCTCATCTTTGTCGCCATATTTATTACAATGTTTCAGCTGTTGTATGCTCCGACCTTCTTCAGGTGATTTGACATTCCAACCACCTAAAGAAGGCAGGAGTATACAACGGCTGAAACGTTGTAATAAAGATGGGGACAATAGTCTGAATAATGTAAGTAGTGTACATAATATCTCATCTCAGAAATATAGTCATTTTAGAGATTTTTTTTTTTTTTTTTTAGATATTAAACATTTTGTGGGATGGATAATTATGCTGTAATATGATATGGACAATTTTGCTGTTACATCTGGTTTAAAGCAACCATTGAACAGCATTCTTGCTCAGATCTTTTTTTCCTGTTTTCCTTGTGACTCAATGAGATGAAATAAAGATTTGTTTCTTGTCTATGATGATTACAAAGAAACTTAATTTCAACAACCCTTTCTCATCATTCTGAATTATCCTATTATAGTTATGCTTGCCCTTTCCTTCATTAGTTCACACGACCATTATGCCCTGCCAATACCTTACAGATAATAGACTGTTTTGTTTTAATTGTGTAGAAAGAGGGGAAAAGACACTACTTGGTTTCAGCGAGAAAATGAAAGAAAGAAAAAAGGGAAGAGAGTAGTTTTAAAAAAAGAAAGAAAAAGTAGTTAATTTCAAATATTTTCATTTGTACCCACTTCTTAAAATAACAACTGCAACTTATATTTATGATTGTTATTGCAAATATTAAATATTTAAATATTTAACGAGGCAATAGGGGAATTGCTACAGATATTTTATTGTCGTAAAACTTTCCATGAGCTTACTCAATCATTAACTTAAGAATTAAAATTCATCAAAATATTAAAATAGGGAAACTGTTAAAACTAGTAGATATAAAAAAAAACAAGTTCTCTCAAATATGACCAAACCACAGTGAGTTGTATCTTCTACATCATAAACAATCATTGTCAAAATAAGAAGATTGCAAACTGCTATCAAGAATTGGCCAAGTGACGTGATACAAAAGTTACTACAATTCCACCTAATTTAATCAATCATCATGTGAGGATTACTCAACCTTGCCTATCAGAACAACCACTACATGGCTTGGCAATCAGTGGTATAAAAGAAAAAGACTCACTCTTTCTTCTTTTTTTTGCTTTGAAATGTAATAGCCCCCCCCCGAAAAAAAACAAAAAAAAAAAAAAACAACAAACAAAAAAACAGAACTTCCCTCTGCTAGGGGATAATTCTTCCTCATGGTAGGCCAACTCCTTAATTTCATCCAGCCACATGGTACATCTTCCTTTTTCAGCTATCTGTGAACATACAAGTATGTTTTCTGTCTTCTTGACTTATGTTACACTTTATATAAAAAATATATATGTAAAATTCCTCCATGTGTTGAATTCCTTTCTTTTGAAAAAGTTGAATTCATTTCCTTTGAAATTCTTCAAACTCAACTGCAGCAAGTCCTAAATCTCCCCACTATAAACTGGTGGCCATTTCAATTTATAGCACTATTTACTGCTATATAAAAAGAGTATCAAATGTCCAATAATGGATAAAAATTAAGATCATTAATTGTTAGTGATCGTAATTCTTATCTGTAAAATTATTTGTCAAGTGCTTGTCAAGCAAAATAGTTTAAGAGAATAGGTTAGTAAATTCCTCTCATGTAATATTTCCTGCTTAAATTGATATGTTGTATTTGAGGAATCCTTTAAAACCAAAATATTAACCTAAAAACTTGCATCTTGTTATTAAATAGACTTGTCAGATCAAGATTATCATACGGATGTCATGTATGGTGCCAGACTCATTCAGGAATATCTAAACTGTTGGTTGTATACAGTTATTTTCTTAGATAAATCGTTAAAAACTGCTTCAAGTGAATGAAGCTTTGTAGATCTTAGTGAGGACCATAATTCTTCAAGCCTCATTTATTGGTGCAGCACAATCATAAACAGTGCCAAATAAAACTTGAGGACTTTCAACAGCTGAAACAAGCAAAATGGATATCACATTTAAGTCAAAGAGAAAAAAAATGACATAATCAAGATGTTGACATTCCACGCTACTTCAAACAAAAAGTTAAGAAGGAAGTGCATCAATAATTGAAAGAACAGCTACTGGACGTAAGAAACCTATTTTCACAAAAAAATTGTTTTAATAGAAAGATTTTATAAATTTTAACTGAAAGTAGCACTGGTTGCTCAGTCAATGAATGCCAGCCATTTCCTTATAAGGAAATGGCTAATAAAACCATGATTACTCATTCAAACATTCTTGTTCTCTGAATAATTTTATCCAACTATCTCAAATTTCTTGGATAACTTTGATCCAAAATCTCTCATTCTCTAACATTTTTAAAAGTCAGAGTAAGGCTATAAGAATGAAAACATAATCATGTTTTGTTTTTTTTTAATTAAAAACAAAAAGAAATTCTAGTAGAATCCTTGTAGAGTACAGGGTTACAACCACAGCAAATGGGGAGACCTCAGTGTGGTGTAATGGTTAGCAAACTTGTCTTGCTAAAACAGTTACAACTAAATAGTGCGTTCGATCCTCATTGGGTACCCCATATTTTGGCTTTGTGCCACATCTAAGCAACACTTATAAAATCAATACAACCACAGCAAATGATTCTGTTGCTGTTTCAGTTGCTGGTGATTTTTTTACAGGGCTAAAGTTCTAGCCTAAAACGCAAGATGGATTGTCTTACAAAGCTAAAGGACTTCATCTACCCTTTTATTTAAAGATGGCTGGTTGTGGATAAATAAATAGATTCATGCCTTCTCCAAGTTCATGTGAAATGAATGCAAACTGTCCAAGCAATAGAGATGGGTTCACCAATTCCATTTTCATTTCTGTTGACTGTTAGTGTCACTCACATATTTTTAATACTTTCACTGCTGCATTGTTGTCAGGCTGTGCTGCTTTGTTTTGCTAAGAATAAGAAATTGTCATTTACTGGAAATAAATAATGCTAAATATACAGAAAATAGCAACTTGAAAAAAGGCTGAGGGTGTGTGTTTCCTGATGGCATTTGCAATGAAACAAATACATATGTCATCATTATGAAACTGAGGCCAACTCTTTTTATCATAAATAATGGCAAAGTTTGAGAGAATGACCCAGAGTTGCTGCTTAGAGGATTTGAAGATCTATCTATATAATACTAAAAGTTTGCATGCTTATCTAGTGCATCTGTCTGGCACTTAATGATTTATGAGTTGTTTATACAGAAAGTGTTTTTTATTTTAACTTCAAATAGACAATTTTAATTAAAATATTTTAAAGTTAAAGACAGACACAAAGAGATCCCACTTTGCTGTTTTGTCCAGTTGTTTGTGGAGTAATTATTTATATTTCAGCTTTTTTTATAAACAAACAATATTTTAAATATATAAAAACATTTTTGGCATATTTAAAAATATTTTCAAGCAAATATGATTTAAAAATACTTTTTGGCTTATTAAATAAACTGTTTTTTTAAGTTAATTTGGTTTAAAGTTCAAGTTTATTCCAGAAGTTCTATTCCTATTGAATGCTGTAGACAATCAGTAAAACATTAAAAATGAACTTGACAACCAGACCAATGATGACAAATTGAAATATTTAACTGAATCATTAACTTTAATTACAATGGAATATTGAAATCAACTTCAGTGTTTTGTAACCTGAACTGTCAGTGACCCATCGGGTCATGGGTAGTGTAGTATGTATAAAAAATGGCATATACTTTTGAGCTAGATAATGGAATGACAGTGTGTTCCTGTAAATTGATTTTTTTTTTTAACTAATGTTCACTCAATACAGTGTTTCTCAACCTTTTTAAGCAATGGCACACTTAGAAGCAAATGAAAGTAATTTTTTAAAGGGAATACAATATACATTGTTATGAAATGTACTATTTGTGCAGCTTCTTTAGTGTGAAACCTGTACTTGGTGTTTTTTTTTGTTTTTTTTTTGCAATTTCTTCAATATTTCATGGCACACTTTAAGAGGATCATGTGGCACACTAGTATGCTGTGGCATGGTAGGTGAAAATCACTGACCCAATACAAGCCACTTAAGGTTACAGGTTATTGTGTGCTATTGTTTGAGCAGAAGACAGTGGTTCTCAAATGTTGTGGTGCACAGAAGAGGATAGCAAGTGAGGCAGAGTGATTGAAAAATAATCAAAGATTTAGAAACAGTTTTAAAAATTCTTATGCCAAAAATAAGTATGATTTTAAAATTTAAAATATTATTATGGATTACTTGTAATTGCAGGCATGAGTCTCAGTATAAATAGTTATAAATAATTATTTATCATTGTGATATCTTTGCATTATATCAAGTATCAAGAATATAGTAACTAGGGGCCACATATTGGAGGAGAGAGTTATCAATGATAATGTTCTGATTTCAAATCCGCAGTTATCTCCCTTTAACCCACACATTTATCTTATTTATACATGTAATTTTTTTCACGGAAAATTTGGTGAGGCGCAAGCAAATATTCATTCCGAAAATGCGTCCCAGAGAAAACAAATTTTGGGAACCACTGGTGTAAGAAGAGGCAAGAACGGCATTTTATGAGGTTATGCATGAAAGATAATGATTAACTCTAGACTTGAAGAGGTCAAGAATTTAGGGATTGGGAAAACCATCTTGCTGGGTATCTATTCCACAAAGCAGCCGTTCTTGGAAAGAAGCTGTTCAAATAGGACTTACTTCTTACTATTGAAATACAAAGGGAGAGGAAATGATTCACCCTTCTGTAAGTGGCATAGTGGGTCCCATTTGTAAAGGTCAGGGCTGGTGAGACCAAGGAATATAGTTTGTCAGAGCACTGACCATGAAAATAGTGATAGAGTAGCGAAAGGCTTCCAATATTTAGTCTATAGGAAAGGGGTTGATTTTGTTCTGGGAGAACCATTGTGTAGAGTTGAGATTACTCCATTTTCCGATGAAACCATCTTGATTTGTTTGCATTTACTTATTATAACACTACACTGATAATAATCTCATAACACATTCTGACACTACAATATCATTGTCATATAGGAAGAAAATGAACAACTACCAACACCGACGTTCGAACGTGACACTCTGGACTTAATGAATATATGTTTTCCACCAGGTGTATAAATAGTGGTGTCAGGCTACTGACTGCAGTGATTATTGAGTGGAACTATCCAGTCGAATTAGTGTGAATTATTTCGCGTTGATGATTTGGGTTTTGATTTAGGATTTACTGGACAAGCATTGCTACCAACAAAATATTCACTGAAATGGTTAATTATTTTTGGTTGACCTTTACTTCATTGTTCTTAAGTATTTATTTGTAGTTGTAATTAAATACTATTTTATTTTAACATTGAAGTCTTGAGTTATGTTTAATTATTAACATCAACAGTATGTCACAAAAATCATCTCTTAGCATTTCAATATAAATAAAATAATCCATGACAAGACAAATGTTTTAATAATCTTTTACATTTTTTGTTGCCAAATTATGAAAGTATAATAACCTCACAAGAGGACATATTTTAATAAGGTACTACAAGAAGACAAACGGAAGGAAGTTACTAAGGAAGAAGTTACCTCTTATGCCTAAGACTGCACCTTCCTTATTTTCACTAATGTAAATTTGTCAGTCATAGCTGCTCAGTATCAAGGTCAACAAAACAACTACTGTTGACTACATTTGATACCAACAAATGGTTTGATGCTTAATGCTTAATTAATGAATATTACACTATAAATTATTTGTTCAGTGTTCAGTAGTATCATGGTATGCTTCCAGTCAAGTGGAATCCATAGTACATACCCTAATTGTTATAATCACTCAGCATCAAAAGCAACACCACGGGTTACATTCAATACCAATAAATGATTTAATGCCTAATTAATGATTATTATACTGTAAATTATTTGTTCAGTAGTGTCATGGTATCCTCCCAATCAAGTGCAACCCATAATCTATGCTCTATTTGTCATCCTAAATACACCACTGCTGATAAGTTTTAATACAACCATTACACGTCAACTGTCAAAAGCAGTCTGAGTACAGACAAAATGAATGTTAACTATTTTTAATTCATATTCTAACTTGAATGTATTTGGATAAACGTTATGATAAGGTTATTTTGGTCAAAGTGTGTCTTTATTTCTTTTTATATAATTGTATTATTTTGGAACTTTATTTCAGTGTCTGTGAAATTGTACAAAGAGACTGAGTGGAGAAATGCTGTTGTAAAATATGCTACACCAAAAGATGAGCCGCTGGACCTTGCTGTACTTAGTCTGGATGATCCTTCTGCAAGTATAGGGACAATTGTTTCATTGAAGACAACACAAGCTGTCGAAGGCATGTGTATTCATATCTTTTATTATGGATTCTTATTAAAGAAAAGTCTTATCTATCAGACAATTTTAAAGAGTGATCATAACTCTAAAGAATATATTTCTAGGTAATGATACTTATTATAAAACCCAGGTTGTGTGTGTGTGTGTGTGTGTGTGTGTGTGTCTGTACGTTTATATATTGGATCGGATTTCCTACATTTTTCAACCGATTTCAACAAAACTTCACAGGACTTCGTAAAATTACCTTGTGGTGGTTCTGATAGCCTCAAAAATTGAAAAAACACAATTGTTTTTGCACAAAATCAATTTGAAAACATGATTAAGAGGCATCACGAGAATGAAAGGGGGACAACTCATATCGAGTTATACTTATTATAAAACCCAGATTGTTTGTGTGTGTGTGTGTGTGTGTTCATTTATATATGGGATCAGATTTCCTACATTTTTCAACCAATTTCAACAAAACTTCACTTTTTTTTGGCAGGTAGTGTTTCTTATTGTCTTGCACACTTTTTTTTATTTTTACATTCAGAATGTGTTAAAAATTCTATTTACAAGACAATTGTTTATAATAAAATTCTATTCAATCAGTAGACTCATAACGATTGAAAACAATGCTTTTGTTTGAGTTTGGGTTTGACCAATTCGTAAAAAAAACAAAAAAAAAAAAAAAACTAATTAAGACATACGTGTTCGTTAACCTTAAACAATAATCTTTGTCAATTTTATTTTTCAGTCTTTATGATGGTCGATACTTGATCTATCTCTTACTATTACATCCCCGGGCAACGCCGGGCTCTACTGCTAGTATTGAATAAATAATAACCAAAAGATAGTTTAAATATCATTGTAATGGTTCTTTTCTTTTTTAATCATTTTCCCCAAGCATGGCAATAATGCCACTAAGACACAATGGTTACTGGAAGAAGAAGAGAATGAGAATGCTTTAGTGAAGAGGAAGAACAACAAAAGAACAGGATTCAGAAAGACAGAAGATTGCGATTGAATTTTGAAGATTGTAGGTGACAGGGAAGCAATAAACTGGACGAGTTACCTGGGTGAGAAGTACAAGAAAAGAAACTATTAGAATAGAACTTACATCTTGCAGTTTCAACAGTAAAATGATGAGACCTAATTTCCAATCTAGTAGTATGCTTAAATTCTCATGGTTGAGGTATCAAGGAGGAGAGCTTATTAGAACAACTGCATGAAAATATTTTAGAAAAGACAGAGGGAAGCCACATCACATCAGTGGGAAATTGACTAACTATAAAATGGATGTTTTCCATTTGGATATGGAATAGTGTTAGCTCTGGCTGAACTAGTTATTTTGTTTTTGAATGGCAGTTCCTGGCACAGCTGCTGCACATGAAAGTTGATGACTACAGCTGGGTGTTCTATGCCAGAATTTCTTTCTCTCTACTTTTTGACCATAATTTAATTTCTCCTCTGCAGTGATGGTGCCTAGGATGTTACCTTTCGTGTCAACTGATTCATCTGGTTCTTTTAATGTTCTGACAACTAGTGCAAAGCCTATTTTGGTATTTCTTAGAGTGATCCTAGTATATATTGGGGTCACCACAGATCAATTTCTCTGAGATTAAAGGTTCCTTATTGACATTAAATTTGATTCAGATGCCTGATATTTCCTGGTGGGATTCATTTTCTATGACCTAGTCATAGTCTTGTAATTGGAGTTCATTTTCACTCAGTTCTGTGCCATGTGTGATACATGCTTAGGCAATCATGTATCTTTTGATACATGACTGACAAGGTATATTTTTTTTCCTGCAGTAGGTTGCCATTTCTTTCTGCGGTAGACCAGTTGCTATCCACTGCTATAGAACCGGGTCTGTCCTTCTATTTCCCCATAGCTGGAGGAAGAAGAGGGTTCATGCCTTTCCCAAGGGTATTAGCACGTAAGTGAATGTAATGAACTCGACTGGAATTCGAACTCGGCTCTCCGATTCCTCAATCCGAGCCACTATCTATTACTCCACCGTGCCTCCTCCTAATTTTTCACTACTACTCTTTAACAAACAGAGATTATTCAGCTTTAAAAGTTTGGTTTGCTTTGGTTTGTTTTATGGCATATCAACCTCAATGGGTTATTTAATGCTGACAAGATTTTTATTTTCCAAAAATGTATTGCTGGTAATAATCTTTTACAAAAATGTATTGCTTGTATTAAAACCTATTTTTACATTTTCATAGTGTTTTGACCCCAATTTGGGTGTCAACTATTTGCCCCCAGCTGAGACCCTAACAGGTGCTACCATCCTGGGTCAGGGTGGACCTGGGAACACGAGCCATTAAGAGGTGGTACCAAAACCTCTTGATCAGAGGAGACCTTGCTGCCAGGTGTAGTTTATCATCTTACCCAGGATGGGAAAAAACTGGTCAACAATTGATAGGGAGACTACTTCCTCTTAGAATTCAAATAAATTTAAGAGACAATTAAAATCCCAAATATCTTATTGTGTGTGTCTTGCAAATTTTGATTACTTAACATATTTTTTCGAGTTACTGTCAGTTTATCTTCTCAACGTTGTTTGGACAACTGAAGTCATTTTTGTTATTATCACAACATTTTATCCAATCTGTTTGATTCTGTTTTCAAATAATTCAATCTGTGCGGGAAGAGAAAGCCTTGCTTTTCTTGGTCATGCCAATCTGTTTCTACCAACAAGAAAAAAAAAAGAATGTATTTGAAAAAAATGTCAGACAACTCGTGGAATGATGATGACTTCATTAGTCGTAATTTCTAGATTAAGGAGTTATCTTTATTTACATTATTTACTCTCGGACTATTGTCCTTATTTTTGTTATCACAACATTTCAGGGAGATGTCTGAAAGAATTGATGCATATGCTAAGCTATGATGGCCTCTTTAGTAGACCTAGCATAGAAATAAATACACTATGAGGTCCATTAATAAATAAAGAAGGAGAAATGACAGCAAGGCTTAAACAACAGCAGCAATAGAAGCATTAAAAAAAGTAAAGCCTTGATGAATGCACTGTGATACGCAGTATCAGTAGCAGGCAGGTTAGATTTAATGCTGCATGTTCTAGACTCAGGATTTTCTCATGAGACAATAGCTTAGGAATTAGTTAGCGAATTTGGTGATATAGTAATTGTGAGTTCAATTCCTGTCCTGGGTAGTAAAGACTTAGATTTAGTAGCAATAACTGATCAGTCCTTAATAAGAACATGATGGCATATTTCTAGTACATAGTGGAACAAGAACAGTTTATGTTGGTAACTTAAATAATGGGTTCAGTTTGAAATCCCCTGAAAGTTACTTGGATTGACAAGCAGTTGATGAAGGCTGGAGTGCACAACAGCCAAAATATTGTGATAATAACAGCAAAGATGAGGACATTAGTTCAAATGTAAATAATGATATTGACTTATCTCAAAATTACAGATGGTATTGTTATCTTTTGTTCTTTCAAAACTCATGTAATTATTTTCCATTTTTCTAATCTGAGTAAATTTATGTACATCTTCTGTGTTACGATAAATGATGGGCTGTTTAAGGAACTCAAACAAATGGTGGAATTGAAATGATAAAGAAAAGTTAAAGAAATATATCGACAGGATGTTAGTGAGGTCATGGAATTGACAAAGATTGAAGAAACATTGACAAGGCAGTTGATGAAAGCAAGATAAAAAGAATAATTGTAAGAAAAAAGAATATATGGTTGTAAGCAAAAAGGGATAATTGAAGTTGTGAGTTACATATGAAGGATAACAAAATCAAGCAGGTGGGGAAGCATAATGGAAATGATGGAAAGTAGGACACAGAAAACTTAATGTGTGTTGGAATAGTAAAAAGTTGCCATGATGATGAAGGAGAAAACAAAGTCTTGCCTTGAAAAAGAAAATGTGTTCTCTGTGCTATTTGTCGAAATCAGGAAAAGATCACGTCAACTTTAGTAGGCCTCGAAATATAGTGCTTCCCTACCAATCTCAACCAATCATAACCTTGCTTACTCCAGTAAAAGAAAGTTACTCTGGATGACTGGCAGTCATTTCTTCATGAGTGTTATGGAGTGATTTCACAGTGGAGGCTTGTATTTGTACTAAGTCGGTCCTAAAATAGGTCCGACATACAAAACGTTAGGAACTTGATATAATAGGTATAACGCAGAGTAAATCTAGTTGTGGTCGCTGATAGTGTAGTATTCGACTAACGGTCATCTGGCCTCAACTGACTGACCAATGATATTTAGTCACCCCCCCCACACGAGGGCATCATGTGGCACAAGGCCGGTTTAACATGTGATCTCCGAGCCTGTATGCTCAGCCAAAAATATGTCCATTGAACCCGTATAAACGGGTTCAGGGTTGGTTTACCTCCCCGAAAGAGAATCCGCCCTTTGGCGTAGCCTCTTTCGGGTTCCTCCCCGCCTGAAGGCAGAGAGTTCAACCGATCAGCCAGTCCCTGAGCGACTCCTACTACTCCTTCTTATTATAGGTGGGAGAGTCTATTAACTATAGAATAGGTGTGTTCCACTATAACAATGAGTGAAGAAGATAGTTGTGCATTGTGAGTTGCACAATCAAAAGGAGATGGGCTCCTTTTGATTTATGCCCCAATCATTTTCAAATTTGAACTTGTGAGACTCATTTATGACCCTTGAATTTGAACCTCCCTCAATGCTATTTTCTCTCACAGGTGATTTTCAAAAACTGAACCTGGTATTAAGAGGTAAAAATAGAGCTCATCTCTAATGTAATGTTAAACTTCTTATATTGTAGTAAATGCTGGGCAATTTACTTGCAAATAAAAAAGTGATCTGAAGCAAGTGAGATGTGGTTCTTTGAATTAATCTTGAGAACATCATGGACATATTGTGCAAGAAATGTGTCTCTTATGACATTAAGAACTAAAAAGAAATTGTTGACAATCAGAAAAGGGCAGGTGAAAGTTTGAGGAAACTTAATGATGAAAGATGGCTTGGAGAATTCAACACTCACAGGACACACTGATGTCAAGAAAAACAGAAAATCAGAAGTAACATATTTGACAGGTTTGTGCAAGTCAGAGTAGGAACAAGTATTTAGAGCAACAAAAAAAAGGGAACTGGGGAGAACATTGATTGACCCCATCCTGAAGTGACAAGCACATTCATGACTTCTCATTGTCTTTCACTCTCAGATCTTCTCATTGTCTTTCACTCTTA